GAGGGGAGGGAGGGAGGGAGGGAGTGAGAGAGAGAGAGACGAGCGCTGTGCGACGTACGCTCATGACGTTGCGCGTGCGCTTGCGGGACCCGTTTGAGCAGCTTTGACACGGCTATGTAAAAAATCCGAGCATGTTGAGCAAGTTCAAGTGAAGCAATAGGATGACCACAACAAAATGCCCCGATGAGTGCAGGGCCCCTAGAATCTATATTGAAAGTTGAATGAAAGGTCACATAGTGTTTGCATTTCGGTCTACCCGGCAAAAGTTTACAATGCAAAAAAAAAATCCGTGCAATTTTTTGTCACTCCAGCAGGCTTGCTTATCGAAGTTGCAGCTTCAGGTGAGCTGTGAGAAGGTGTATTTTTTGTTTTTTTTAATGGTGTTTTCCAAAGGATTACAAGCCTTTTGGGATAACCTCACCAAGGAGCATCCAGAAACATGGTCATAACCACGATCATGTCTACGTTTCAGTCTTGTCCGAGAGATGGCACTTATCTGTGATGAATGGAGGAAACATTGCGGACAGGACTTACTTTGCGTGATGCTGATGTTTGGCATTCTATCTTTCGCAATGCCACGAACATATGATTCATATTTTTACTACTGCAGTGTTTTGGACCAACACAAAACGGCCAATCCCCCAAGACTGATGGGACTAAAGTCATCTGCATCCGGCAGACTGCTGCACATGGCCCCTGCGCCTTACACGAAATCTGCATTTTGAGGTTCACCAAGCGCTGTGCCTGCCACGAAATCTGCACTTCGCCCCGGCAATGCCTGCCACGAAATCTGCACTTCGAGGTTCAAGTGCTGCGCTTGCTGCGAAATCTGCACTTCGAGGTTCACAAGCGCTGCGCTTCCTGCGAAATCTGCACTTCGAGGTTCACCAAGTGCTGTGCCTGCCACGAAATCTGCACTTCGAGGTTCACAAAGTGCTGCTGCGCCTGCCACGAAATCTGCACTTCGAGGTCACAAAGTGCTACGCCTGCCATGAAATCTGCGCATCGAGGGTCACAGAGTGCTGCGCCTGCCACGGAGTTTGCAAACGAGCCACATATTGCACCTGTCACGAAATCTGAGCTCCTCGACGATCAACGTCCAAAGTCCTGCGCCTGCCACGAAAACTGCATTTCGAAGTAAAACAGCTCCGATCCCTTGCGCCTGCCATGAAAAGTCACCACCATGTGCGAAAATGCGAGCGCCACAACAAGAGTGCAATCGCTAGAAGCATCCGCCGCCGCCCAGATTTCGCCAGCCTGCACAGTCGAAATGCACGTCGAGGATTTTGAGAGGCGTGAGTGCACTGTAAATAGCAGCGAATTAGCCGGTCACGCCCGTGCGCTTCAGCGATCTAAGCGTCAGCTGCTTTTCTATTGCACGCCGTATATGTTCACACTGTTTTGGGAAAAAAGTTGAGGTTGTATTTTTTGCAACCTCCCAGTAAATTTCCAATCACAGCGATGTCAAAACGTGGAGCTCTTAATTTTAGACGTGTTGCGCGCGTTTAAGTTTAATTAGGGCGGCGGGCGCAATTCACGTCCCGCGCAACCACCTGCGCAGAACAAAATACGCATAAGTCAAGTATATTGGCATAAAAAAATGGCGATGTAGAAGATGAAGAAAACAATCTGTTCTTGCCGCGCTTGCTTTGACGTGCTCCACCTCGCCCTGCATTCAATTGCAATTATATTCTGGTTCGATTCTAATTACACTCTACATGAATTCTTATCTTTCAAGACCAATACTAATTTGGACATAAAGTTATACAGTTCCATTCCAAATCTGATTTAATTCTGTCTAAAAATGGAACAAAGCAAAACAATTTTCATTCTAATGCAACTCTTGTTTAATGCTAATATAGTTCTAAGTCGAATTTAATTCCAAAGAGCAGGTGTTGCTGGATGTGCGCGTTTAAGACAAAATGCTATAAAATCATGTGTTTTGTAGTGTTCTCTTGCTTTGGGAGTACTCGGAACTAGGTCAAAACTCTGCTTTTGTATAGAGTAATGATATCTTATAGCAACATGGGATTCTTTGCTCCTTTCTGGGGAGAACTGCTTCTGCAAAAAATCTATAATATCGAAACACGAAAAGACAAGTGATTGAAATGTCGTGGGGATCACCCGAAGTAAAATAATCGAATTACCCTTTTACTTTAAATCCTGAGGTCTGAGGTTTATTGCGAGTAATTACGACGAACAATTTTGTTGCCGCACTTTTTTCACTAGGCGCGGGAGGTTTATTATTTGTGATGTGAACATTATAGTTTGATAATGTTTGATATAAAGTTTGGCTTGTTTTTGGTTGTGGGCCTCTTTTTGGACGCTGATCAACGTCTGTGACCCCAGGTGACTTGGCTGTTCGTCGCAGCTCCACAAAAACTCGCATCTGGACCTCTCTGAGGCCTTCGACATAGGCCTGCTTCTGGTTTTCAATCGAAGCGGGAGTGGGCCTCAGTCGATCTCGTTGCACGATGTCTTTCGCCTGGTTGAGTCTTACCGTGCCCGGATGTGCCCGGTTTGGTTTCGACCAGGCTGAGGCTGTGAAGATTTGTGAAAGCGAGAACTCCAACTTCAAACTGGTCGAGTCAGTGCTCCTGCTCGAAGACTCCGGAGGATGAAGGGGCCATGGTGGTGAAAGACCAACAAGAAGGAACATTCATGTCCGTCCGAGCACCATCTGATTCTATATCCATCCACGAAATCGTGCAAACATCCAGGCAACATGCATCCCAAATTTAAAAAGAAGGGCCACGACCTTGCCGAACAAAAAGGGCCTCTACCGGTTACTACGAAGTCCACTGCACTAAGATCCGAGTCTGACGAGTGAATCCACGGGCAGCAACGAGTCTGACGTGACCCTTGGCGATATGCAGGAGACTTGCATCTTCCAACCTGGTCGTTGATTCTTCTACTATAGTCACTAGTAGTCACTAGTAGCATCCATGGCAACCCGTGAATGGGAGGACAAAAACGATGTTCTTCATTTAGGGCCTATAGGGCTTACGATGATCCTGCGGGACCCCGTCATCAGGTCTACGGAATTTGATGTCAATGTCTCCCCAGTGATGAAGATCGCCCGCTCACCGAATCCATGTTCCTTCTCAATCAACCCCAACCGAGCCATTTGGACCAAGACAACCTCTTTGTGGCACCTGATGGCACCTCAATCAATGCCCCTCTCAGACACCGGACATGTTGTCCGTCTGCCGCTTTGGAGGAGGGCCCAAATCCTCGAATTCGTCACCGCGATGAATTCGTCAATCTGCTGAGCCCGGAACCCACGTCACCACGTGGATTTAGGATGAACATCCCCCAAACAGCAATCCTGCTGTGAATTTGAGAATAGAGCAACTCACAGTAGGTCATGAGATCCTGACCAGCAAGTTACTTCAAGCATCGGGACCGTCAGTTCTCTCAAAATCTGCAGGAACAGTGTCCCCCTGCTGCTTGCGACCCGCTCGATGTACAAGGGGCCAGGTACCAGTCGTTGTCCACCCGCTCCCCGCTGAGCCACACACGTCTACTTGTGGCACTGGTGCTGCTGCCTGGCACAACATGCGCAACAGTACGCGCAAAGCAGTGACAAAATGCCTGGTCCAGGATCCCCTTTGAAATCCACGCCCCCCATGTGGGGGTCTCTATAAAATCATGCCCCCCAACTCACGCGCACGCTATAGAATCAAAGCCCCTATGTCGTGAAGTGAAAGCTCACGGAAAGTATGTATGAAGTTTTCAACACTAAAGAATCACAACCCCCATCTCACAGACCGATTCCTTATAATGCTATATGTGCTTGTTTTTTCATCATGAGCCTTCCACGGGAAAGTCTTTTCATCATGAGCCTTCCACGGGAAAGTTGACAGAGCACAAAGTTGAAAGAACAGAGAAAAGGTGAAAGAGCACTCAAAAAATGACTGTCACAAAAAAACCGCTCAAAGATACTCAAAGGTTGTTCCTCTATATATAGAATCATAATCAGTCAATGACCATCAACATGTCTGCCACTAAGAAATCAAAGTCCCCATGTCACCAGTACAAAGCTCATGGAAACATAGATCTCAGGGTTCTATCACTTTAGAATCACGACCCCCAGGTCAACTAGGTCAAATTGCACCCTTGTCGGAAACTTCCCGTGGTATCTCGTGGTCTCCTTTTAGAATCAAGGAACCTGAGTGTCTCAATTCTATAGTGCTATAAAATGGGTGCTCGGGAGTACCCAGGTAGCACTAATCTGTAGGAGAAATTTTAAAGGGGATGGTCCAGGTGTATCTTCGCCCCATGCTTCGACACGCGACTCGCGCCGAACCCCCAATGATGCCGACTTCGGCGTCCTCCCAACCGGGGCGCCTGCCACTGTGGCGGGCTTTGCACCGAAATCTGCCTGTGCCCGTCGGTTCGAGCCCGATTTGTCCTTCGGAGGTCGGACAGGTCGACGCTCCGAAGAGATCTGTTTATAGGTAAGGGGGACCTCCCAAGCGATGCAGGGCTCGAGGCACCTGACGAATAACAGGCCTATGGCTGGAGGCTTTTGTAGACTTAAGGGCGTCGCAGGTTCGAGTGAACTCAAAGGAAGGTGCTCCTGGTAAGGTTCGAGTCTTTTCGTTTTGGGTTCCCTCAAGAGGCCAAGAACACTTCAAAAGATGTTCATCTCGCATGTGACTTTTGTTGCTCGCTCATCTCTGTCTTCCAGTTCTCCGAAGGCTTCGTAGAGCAAACAAATTGAGACGAAGTTCCATTGGTCGCGACGCTACACAAGCGTTCCCAGACGAACGGTGACTGCAGACTTTTGACCTCAAACGCCAGAGATGCGTTTCACCGTGTCACGGCAGGTCACCGAAAAAGCTTCATCGACCCGGTCGACCGCCCGGCGCAGTTCGGTCCCAGACATCGGTGACCAGGTGTAAAGCCGGTCTTGGCAGAAAGGGCGGGACGGCGGCGCCCTTTAGCGGTTAAATCTTCTTGTCTTAACTTGCATTGCTCAAACTGATCGATGTGAGTGTGAGTGGAGAAATTTATGGTTCTGCTCTCCTGGCGCAACCACTGCCTGCCAACAAATCCCATGTGCCCAAGAACGTGCCCCCGACACCCGAAGCCAAGTGCCCGCGTGGAAGAGCGACCCAGGCGAATGCGCGCAGAAGATGTTCGGATCGGAGGCCCCAAGGTGGCTCCCGGATGCTCCCGGTCTTGCAAAAAGGTCGGAACACGGTTCCTTCAGCGCTTCCTTCGGCCTCCCACCACTTCGACCAGCGGACCAGCGGGAGGATGTTGCGGTGAGGTTCTATCCAATTGTATTTTGGGCACCTTGATCTGACTCAGAAATAAGCTGACCTGGCACAATATGTTAGCTGCATCCATGGTGACCATGACGTCTGCCAGCTCCGTCACGGCGTCTGCGAGAAGGCCTTGGTCAGCCAGTCCAAGGCCTGGCGGCTTCAAAAGGTATGGAGACTGGGAACGTACTTAAGTAACAAAGGGCATCGCTACTAGTAACAAGGGCATTACTACTAGTAACAAGAAGCTACTAGTAGCAAGGGGTATCGCTACTGGTAGCAAGGACGCTACTAGGAACAAAGAGTGTCTCAAAGTGACACGGAGAGTGTAAATCCATGCTGGTAATTGCTGTTAGATGTATAGCAACGCCATAACATGCCATAACCGGCTGCCCAGGACCTAGACTGCTCCAAAAGAAAGTGCCAGAATCAGACAGAACGAGTGTTCGTCAACCCCCGTTCAGCTATGGTAGTCTTTGATCTTTGAGCAATGCACAAACAAATGACTGACTTGCTTTTTCGTTGCTTTCTGGATCTCTTCCAACCCACAGAAGGACAGGCTCTGGCCGCTCTGCCTCACCATGCTTGGCTTGCTGTTAGCCCAAAGACACGAGGGATCCCTCCCGGTTCCCATCCTCCCCACCCTCGCCTCATAGACCCCATCGCCTGTGTGCGCCACACAGCCCTGCGCCCTGCGTCGCTCAGCTGAGACGCCGAGCTGGGCGGCCAGGAGCTCGACACTACGGCGCTGGGGAAGGTCCTGCTTGTTGGCGAGGACCACCACGGGCAAGGAGTCCTCACCCGGACCGGCGGGGCGTTTGGTAAAACACAGTGTGTTTGATCATGTTTTGCACTCAAACGGCTCAAAACATTGAAGCAACAAATGGCTCAAAACCTAGGTTTTGGTGATGTTTCAGCCATAAACCACTGTGGGTGTTGATCAAAATAAACCGCGAATCAATCGCGATCCTAACGGTGTCAATCGCGGGAGAGTGCTCTCGTACGCAACACTATTTTGCGCAGAGAATCGTCGAAACATTGCTACATATCACTGACAGTATTTAGAGACATGGCGCGAGCCAGGGCCTACTCAGGCGGGTTTAACAATCGCGGCACAATCGCGGCTCCATCGCGAACCAATCGCGGATTTTGTCGACATATTTTTTGAGAATTGAATTGATCTGGGCTGGTAGACTTTGAACTTTGTTGTTTTGATTCTTCTTTGCTATTGGCTATCACTATTGAACACAGTGTCTAGGCAGACCCGAATACAGTGTAAGGCTGAACTGTAACATGATTATCATGCCATATAATCTATAATATTGATTTCTCCTCTTACAATGGTCGATTCTGATACGAGAAATGTTTGTCTCAATCGCGAACCAATCGCCGATCAACCGTGATGCAGGGTTTTACAATCGCAGATGCTGAGATACACATGCCCTTTCATAATTCTTAGATTTGCATTTACGATCGGTTCCCATGTGTTTTTGCACATGTTCTGCACGAAAACATCTCTCAGGAGCATCCGTTCTGCGTGTTTTTGGCGTGGTAAACCTGCGATGTGAATGTCTGGTTCCATGGTAAATCAATTCTGAACTTGGAGATCCTTGTGATCGCACACGATTGGGGATCCTGCTGATCACGAAGTAGCAGCTGACAAACCCCACTCTCTTCGACGAACATGACCTAACTCGGCAAGGCCTGCCTCTGGCTCAACAATAAAAGAGACCGCTAAACTTGTGGCCCAGAGGGGGGTGGCGAAAGCTAGGCAAATAAACGACGCTGGGGCTCTTTAGGCAGCAAAAGCCTGGCCGGGAATCGCAACATGCCATGGCCAAGGGAAAAGGAGAGTGCCAACAGCGCCCCCCGAATATGACCCCAACACAGCCAACACATGGCAACACACAACGACCCCAGCAACCGCCGCAGCAGCAACAGCCACAACAACAATAACTGTAACCAGCAGCGGCAGCGGCAGCAAGCAGAAGCTTCCAAGCAGCAGCAGAAGCAGCAGCAGGAGTAGCTAGCAAGCAGCAGCACCAGCTACCAAGCAGCAGCAGCAGCAGCAGGAGCAGCTACCAAGCAGCAGCAGCAGCAGCAGCTACCAAGCAGCAGCAGCAGCAGCCAAGCAGCAGCAGCCAAGCAGCCAAGCAGCAGCAGCAGCAGCAGCAAAGCAGCAGCAGCAAATCAGCAGCAGCAGCAAATCAGCAGCAGCAGCAGCAGCAGCAAAGCAGCTACCAAGCAGCAGCAGCACCAACAGCAGCTACCAAGCAGCAGCAGCTGCTACCAAGCAGCAGCAGCTACTAAGCAGCAGCAGCAGCAGCAGCAGCTACCAAGCAGCACCACCAGCTACCAAGCAGTAGCAGCAGCAGCAGCAGCAGGGAAAGAGTGAGCTTTCCTTAGAGTCTTTCGTGCCCCAACATTTGGTCTCGAACAATAGCACATATAGGTGCTGCCTGAGTAATTGTAGAAGGGCGACGTGGAAAGACAGATATATCTGATATATCTGTTTTTTTGCACGAATAAATGCTGACGATGCAGCCAGCAGCGGTGTGCATGATTGACATCTAGGGGTTGTATGCGAACATGTGTCAGCGACCGAAGACCCCGTCGCAACGCTTGTGCATGCTCCCTGTCGCTCGAACATGGAACGCGGACTACCATGAGTGAAGCAAACAGCCCGTTCAAACATCTTACTGGGTTCTGTCATTCATGTGTGAAGTAAGTATCATCTTTTGATCTGCATGGATAGCGGATAGTGCATTCTGATTTGTACTCTTGGGTTGTGGGGTGGGTACATGCCTGTACAAGCTTCTTAAGGATATAATGAAATTAGCATCGTTTCACGACTCAGAGGGAATGCAACTACTCTCGATTCTAACGAATTGGCTTTCTTCAGCACCAACAGCAGCAAAACGGAGCAGACAACAAGCAGCAGGCAGCCATGCAAGCAGCAAGCAGCAGCAACCAGCAAGCAGCCAAGAGCATCCAGCAGCACCAAGCATGCAAGCAGCAAGCAGCAGCAACCAGCAAGCAGCCAAGAGCCAGGCGCAGATGAGATGAGATGCCAGCAGCAGCAGCAGCGACCAAGCAGCAGCAGCAGCAGGCACCGAGGAGGAGAGGAGAAGGGTGGAGTTGAACCCCGCGGGGGGGGGGTCTAGTCCTGATATATCAGGTAATAGCACTCAGGTCCTCAGCTCCCACCCTCCTCCAGCTAGCTACAGCTAGCTTTCGTACAGAGACCTCCCCCTGGAAGAAGGGAAAATAGACCAGTCTACAGTAGACTGGTGGTCCTCCTATTCACCTACACACCACACCCATGTGCCGTTCGGCAGACCCGCTGCCCGGTACCACCGCTGCTACCCGGGTCGAGCTTCGGATGTATAGACGCTCAAGAGTGCCTTCAACTCCTGGCGAGGTTGGAACACTCATTGCTCCAGGTGATGCGATTGTCATGAGATGTCATGACCAGCTGCGATACTTTAGGAACTTCAATGTTCGGAAGTACGACAGAAGCAACACCATGTGGACAGTCTATCCGTGAGTTATACAGAGATCAAAGACTATAAGGCTTCTGGAACTCGAGTTGCTTGGCACCGGCACCTGCTTCACTAGACGTGCTGCGTGCTCCTCTTGAGCCTCCAGGAGCTCTTCATCCGAGCATGAGCTATCCACCACGAAAAGCAATCCTGACAGAGCAGCCAGTGCACATCAGTGCACCCGCGGAAGATCATAGACCCCACCCAAAGACCGCGTTGCACGGACACGGAGCAGAATGCAAGGCCCTCACTTGGACTCCAATGTAAAAGGCACGCCACGACATGTATGCCGATGCCCAAGAACTTTCAACGCCCACCAGAACACCAGCGCACCAGGATGTGGCAGACTTGCAAACGTGCTGTCTGAACCTCCTAACAAAAACGTGCGTCACACAGCATACCATGCCCATGCCCTCTTCATCTCGGACACCCCGCAGGTCACCTCGCGCGTTGGAACCGAGTGTCCGTGCGCCGCGGGTCGGAAGTGGCGCAGGAGCTGCCGGACCTTCTGGTGCCCTCCGATCTCCCAGAGCGTGAACCTCGGTCCCGTCGGCCCGTCGGCTCGGTCCCCGACCCGCGGCGGGAGTCGTGTCGGCCGGTGGTTCGGCGCGCGCAGTGAGGTCGGTCTCGTCATCAGTGACCCAAAGTATCGCAGTGGTCGGGGTCAACGGTCATCCCTTCAAACGTGACCTTCGCCTTACCCCTCTGAAGAACAGCGAAGCGACGGCAGGACGGCGACGGACGGTGCATATAGATGTCTTTAGAGTGACCGTGTCCAAGGGAAGCTTTTGGGCAGAGGACAAGAACAATCTGCCAAGAGGCTTGAAATCCTTGTAGTAAATAGAAGCCTAGGTACACAAGCAAGTTGTGGTGAAGATCACATGGGTTGTTTCGCGCGTGGGGTTTAACTATACCTATGCTAAACTACCCAACTTGAGCCCCGGCAACGAGTACACCCACAGAAATGATCCTTGACTCATTGACCAAGTGCGGGCCGAGGCAGTGTTGGTGTGGATGTTGCCATCTCATGCGTTCTGCCCATTTATTTGTGGTTGATGAGTGAAAGTTGCAGATATCTGTTTTCTCGCTCCGCACCTCTCAACATCGATCATCGATCACCACTCCCAACATCAAACAACCAAACTCCACACCAAACCGTCCAAGAGTCGCATTGAGAACCGATGGTCGACTCTGTCTGGCTTCCTGACGCCGATCACGACGACTCGACGCTGCTCCGATGGCACCAGGGCCCACAGTTGGTTTGTCTGGTGCCCTTTGAATTTGGAGCATGTCGTCTAAGGCATGTTTTTGGGCGCCAATGCCATCTATACTCTGAGTCTTCTGTCATATATAGCTATATCATTTGCATCCTTCCATACTACAGCCATCTACAGCCTATTTAAGGACAAGTGCATGTAGTTGGGGCAGTGAAGTGCCTGGCTCGAACAGGTCCCGCAATCTTTCCGCACTTCCCCCACGCAACGCGGGTCAATGGACACAACTCGGGTCCTTGGGTGATTGAAACCATTTCCAACCTCTCTTGGGAACAGAACTCGGCATCACTCGGCTTAACTCGGTCCTGTTGCCCCTACAGTATCCAACTCCGCCAGCCGCCTCTCGTCGGAGATGTCCGGCGAGGTACCGGCGGAACGACGTCGTCGTCGGCTTCGCGAACACGAATCGGATGAGTATCTTGAGGCGAACGCATGAGGTGCGATGAGGTCTGGACAGCGAGTTGACTCCCGACTGGACACCTCTTGTCCCATCATTTCCACGAGTTGACTCAGTGCTGACACCACTCGTCTGCCAGGACTCCAGATGGATCTGCTCCACTCAACTGCTTCAAGATGGTACCTCACTTAGGTGAACACATGGGAGCAATTGAACATAGAAAGCGACATGACAACTCAAATTTGTGAACAAAGCCGTTGTTCAGATATGATATTCAGCACTGGACAGCAGTTGTTCAGATATATATATATATATACATAATAGATAGTATGTGAACCCAATTCTTTGGACTCCAACGAATCCTGAAACTGTAGATCAAACATCTCTTGGTCATGCTGCTCTTTCCGGAGCCCGGCAAGCCCACCAAGAGCAACGTCCGCTCGATGGCAGGAGCTCGACCTGAACACGTCCGTGCCGCCCAGAACGCACCAGGGTTTTCGGTAACAACAAAACAATCCCAAGTTGGTCATACCCAAACACTCCATCAGACTGGCCAGGGTCAATAGCTATTAGTATGCTATATCGGCTATATATAGGTCCAGGATGGTGCAGGGCACCTCATGGGCTTCAGAACCCACCTCTTTCTGATCCCCACGACCTCCCATCGTGTCCCCGGCTGCTCGGTCTTTGCACGATGGACACAGGCGGTTCCAAGCATGTTTTAGGGGGTCCATTCAAACCAAAAGGACTGGATTTCGGGGATTTTCGTCGATTGTGCCGTCATGTGCCATCTAGAGATGGAAACAATCCATCTCAATCCCTGAAAAGCGACCTTCAAAAGAACCCCGCATGAGTCCACTTGGCGTTGAGTCCAAAACCAATCTTTAAGAGGTCAACGTGACAAGTCAAATGGATCCCTACCAGCACCTTCCAACAGGTCTCCTTTGGAGGGTTGGGAAGGGCCCTAACAGGTTTCAATTGGTGACCTGTTGGAGGTGCTGGTATCTTTAGTCTTGTACATCGTCAGGATCTTTAACGAACAATCGCACCCATCTCGAGGCGGCATAAATTCTTTGGGTCATAGTTGCCAACATCTACTCACCTCCCTCACCAAAATATGTGTGCAATGTTATCTATATGTTTACCTACTCCATCTACTCCATCTGCTCACCCATCACCTATCCGGACCTATCCCAAAGGATATTCTACGGATGTCATCGTTCTGCCACGCGGGCTTCGGCCCATCTCATTGGGGTCCGGGGTCGGCACCTCCTAAGAGGCTCACGACGGACCGCCAAGGGGCTCAAAAGGAGGCCCATTGGAGTGGAGGCCCGGCGGTGCACGCGTGGGTGCAAAAGGACAATGGATCCTTTTCCATTGTCCAACTAGAACAGTTGGTCAGGTTGCTTAACAGAAGCAAGTTCGGAACAGTTGGATGATTTCAGATCTTGATTTAGACACTTTACATCGCTTTACGCAAAACCTGTTGAACGCAGGTAGAACACACTATGAGCTGCCCTAATCCATGAAACTCCCACAGGTTTCATTCCGTAAGATGGGGAACGCATGAGCCATCAGCTGCACACGAACTGGGCGGATGCATGCGGATGGTGATAGGACTCTTACACTGTCTTACACCTTCGATGTCAAGAGTTGGCTGACAGAAGTCATCAGAACCAAGAACTTCTTGCCAATGATGAGCAATTCCCACCCATTCCCTCGCAATGACTGTCTGGAACCCCTCTGGGACCCCTCTGGGTCCCTGTCTGCCACGATCATCTCAGACCCTTCGTGAAACCTGAATCGCCCCGGCCTCTGTTGCACTGGATGCATTGGGGATGCTGGTACGGCTGGGACCTGCAGCATGTGTTCCTGGCAACTGGGATGCTAGTTTCTCACGTTTTTGCCACGTGGTCATGGTAGGAAAGTGGGAATGATTGGTAGGAGTTGGTAGGAGTCTATGCTCACCCAGAATAGTGGATGGAGCGAATGAAATACTATGTTACTATGAAATTCAGGTGAATGTCAGGATAGAAATTGAGCAAAATGCATTTTGAGCAAAATCCGTGGATCGATCCAGAAGCAAATTGAACTGCTAAGCAAGATTACAGGCATCCATTGGCAAGCGTATATCAAAATCAAATCGGGCACCCCTACCAGTACACGTCTATGTATGTCTATACCGGTCTATACCCTAAATCAAAGCAAATCGCAAAGCACTTTGCCTCCAGAAACGCGTGGAGCGAGCTGCCCAGGCTGCTCCCAAAAAACTAACCGCCGCTGCTGGAGCCAGAGGCTGGTCCAGGGAGAATGCTGGCAAAGAACCCTCTTCCAGGGGTCAAAAAATACAAAAAGCATGAACGAAGCTGTGATTGCAACTGATGACGCACCACACCGAATCACATCCCTACTCTCCCTACAAGTTAACAACAGCGCCTGCAACAGCGCTGGGAATTGCTTGATAACTAGTGAGGATTCCAACATATTCCAACCGTTCTGTCAGCCTGGGTCCAAGCACTAGAATGACTGAGTGTCAGTGTGTAGCTGTGTTGTGTGCTGTGGTTGTTCTGATGTTCGCTTCACCAAGCAACCAAATCTAGCAAGCCAGCATCGAATCAAGAAAGAGTCCAAGGGGGTGTGATTAGGGGTGGTTGGTGATTGCTCCTCGCCCCAAAAAGCACCAAATGCTCTCCTCTTTTTCCAAACTACCAAGCCAGCACCACCGCCAGCAGCACCGTCAGCAGCACCGCGGGACTTGGCGCCTTCGCCCAGGAGCGCGGCTCCCCACGCATCTCCAACTCCACGAGCACTGGGTCGTGCATGTTGAAGACAGCCCAGGCCTCAACTGGTGTCGAGAGGTGCTTTTGTTTGTACTTGGGGGTCATTCACGGCCACGTTCAAAGAAGGGCGCCCTCCCCTCTCCCTGTGTTCACGAACGTTCAGCCCGACATGATGGGGGTGAGACTCTTTGTGATTTTTCCTGACGAAAACGCCTGAAACCGTCTACTGCTGACTGTCTCCAGCCCCCCGAGTCGGCGTGGCGCGTGGTTGCTGGGCACAGCACTGGGTGTTTCGGGGCGGGGTCCGGACCTCGCGTGGCGCGCTGGCGTGCGGGCGTGCTGGGGAGAGTTCTCCTCTCTCAACCTGCCAGCACCAGAGCTCTGATCACCAGTCCATCTTCATTCCGCAGCCAGGACTTTTTGGCAGCCTTTTTCATTGGCAGTGAAGAATCTGAAAGGGTTTCCCCCCGGTTCCCCGGGCGACCTCACGGTCTGGTCAGGAAGGGCGACCAATAGACCTGGTGAATGCAGTGGCTGGCTGCTGTGGCATCTGTGGCCCTCTAGGCCTCCCGGTCCCGCCCCTCAAGAATTCACCAAATGCCAAAGTGGTTGGGGTATGTGAAGGATCGCCGAAAAAACTGCACTTCATATGGCAAGCTGGTCTTTCTAAGTCGAGATTCAGGTGGATGGTGATCCGCGCCAATTCCAAATGGAAAGGATGTCTTGACCGCAGTCACCTCCAGATTCTGAGCGATGATCCGGTCGTAGGAGAAGAAATACTCCGGGTAGCAACAGGTGATTTGCACATCATTTCCCGCGGTCTTCCTCAGATCTGCCGAAACAAGTGCCACCTGCACACCCAGGGAAGCCACCTGGGCACCCAGTTAGGGTCTCCCGTCTAATTTGGGACATGCCCAAATTGCCGAACAAGATTGAAACATACTCTTGAAGTTATTGAAGTTGTTGGCAACCTTTCGGCTACATCAAACCACCGCGCCACATGAAACAAAAAAAATGCTCGCCGAATCCAGGGAGATCACCATGTTGCGGGGATTGGTGGCGCCAGAGCTTCACTTAAGGGATCTCCAAACAATTCTGGGGTAGAGGACGCTACTAGGAGCAAAGGGCATCGCTGCCAGGAGCAAGGACGCTACTAGGGGATCCACAAAAGGACGCTACTAGGAGCTTTGGCACCAGAGCTTCACAAGGAACAAAAAAGATCGATGAATTCAGGCTCTGATGCCCCATGTTCGAGGGAGCTGTATCACAATTCATTGAAATCACTCTGCCTGGTTGATCATCTATTATCCACAATGACATGGTCGAGTATGCCTGCACAACCACCTCCAGCCTCCTCACAAGAATGCCTCCTCTGTCTGCTGGGCAACAAAAACACAATTACTTCACCTCGGTCGTGGCTTTCTACCAGTATGCCGGGACGCGCTGAAGAGGAAGCATCGATGTCATGCATGATCTCCGCGTTGCCTTTCTGTTGATTCGTGTCTGCCAGCAATAGGACCTACGGTGTGTACACATGTCTGAATCATCTGTGAACGCGCGAACACAAAAAGGCCTGCATGACCAAATTGGCCAACAAGACACAGTTGTTTTGAGTTCGTCCCCTGGCCTCGACATAAATCGTGATTTTCTTACTCATATTTTCTAGCAATGATGACTAACATCGGCCCTCCTTGTGAAGGATTCTTTGCCGCCAGATCTTTTGCTGTTCTCGCCGGTCCCGGCGCGACGAAGCTGCTGTGGCCTCCTCCACGCCGCTGCGACGCTTCAAGTCCTGCAGCTCGGCGCTCAAGAGCTCTAATCCCGCCTGGGCAGAGGTACGGCGGCCCCAGGAGTCCGCGTCGACTGAGCGTGTCGTCACCGGCCAAGGGTGGGACAGAAGGTCCGGTGAGTGGTCAGTCCAGAGTGTCCATGAGAACATGTATTAGTTCAGTAATGTTCAGTACATTTGGCTACACTTGAATCTTTCATGTCAAATTCATCCATCCATGAAAGACGCATGGGTACAATAGTGTTAGAATTCCTCCATGAATCAACAGAAAGACTTGGAGGATCGTCCCACGGAAGAAGCCGAGGATTCGATCCTCTGTTTTCTTCCGTAGAAGAAGCCCCCTTGTTTGGTCGGAAGCCTCGTAGCCGCCCTCGTGTGGAAAGTGGGCGACCATCACGATGACCTGAAGTCCAGTGTCCTGCACCAGTTCGGATGCGCATCCATTTCACCAAAGGCTGCACCGGTGCCATAGAGGCTCTATAGACATATATAGATGTATTGCATGCTGCATGCTGCATGCTGCTATAGCTCTTCAAATTCGAAAACTAGATGGCTTCGAAACACACATGACGTTCATCTTCACGTCCGGTGCTTCCCAGTCAGACCTTCGACCAATCATTGTAAGCAGGCGATGTGGTTCCAAAAGATTCAAGAAGCATATACCCTAGAAGTCCAAAGACTATATTTTGACCGGCTGGAGTAAAGGAAGTTTCCTTTCAGATCCCATAAAGACCATTCTTTGTATAGTCGTTGACTCCCAGGGTATATGGGACAACAGCCAACTGTCGACGACGGCGTGTGTTCTTCGTCCTTATGGACGAAGGCCTGTCCCACATAGGCCCGGTAGTCGTTGACCTGCGTCACGGTGGAAGTCCGGTACGACGTCACGGGATCCGGGACAAGTGATCCGACATTCCCCCCCCTTTTGCAATATGGTTGTTTGCATCATCATGACCAGATTATGTGTTCTTTGATGTTCTTTGTTTTCTTTGACCCAAGATGATGGCGTAACCCACAGGGATAGATATTTGTCACAGGAGCCCTGATTCTTATCCCAAACACAGCTCAAACACTCCGCAATTCTCCTGAATTTGCGGCCTCTTGTGAGGGAGTGCTTTCTCTGCCTGACCCAACTACCTTTGGACAAACAACCATCCAATCAGCACCCCACACACATTCAAAATCATCCAAAGATCTCCAGACCCTCCAGTAATTACATTTAGTTAATTGTTATATTTAATTACTAGTATCGGTATATATCTGTATGTATCTGCCTGCTAATGAATCTTTATGAATCCTTCCCCCCTACAGCAGTCCCTCAGTCCTGAGATGACTTGTTCACCTTCTCCATGCATCCACCTACTGGCTGCCCGGACGGCGCCCAGCCGCCCGTTTGCCGGTAGAGCAGGCTGGCGAGGTCGAAGGGGTACACGCCGAAGCCTCCGGTCGACCGGTGAGCCGAACCGGTCGCGGTGGCCTGTGACTCGGATCGGTGGGAAACTCCAAGTGATGAGGTGAAGTTGTGCGACTGGTGATGACTGGTAGTGATGCCTGGTTGTGATCCGAGATTCAGGTCGTGAGATGCAACTGATGGCTGGGGGTGCCCTAGTAAAGCAGGTTTGGGTGGACGCGGGTCTTGATTGGCCGGGAAGGGATAAGAATGCATAAGACTCCATAAGACCTTCCTTTTGGTCAAACCACATGCAGAATCGCTGCCATGCGCCCTTATCAGCTGAGGCAGGCTGAGGCACTTCAAGGGCCAATTAGATGTTATTAAAATGGATCCAGAAGGTCGAGCTTGCTGATAACACCTTGCTGGCCATGAAAGAATTCATGGAGGAATACATTTAATAAGACGTGTCTAAAGGACCTGCTCATTGGGTTATATTGGGTTTACAGTCATTTCCTTCCGGTTTCATTGGTCACAATCAGCAAATTCCCAACAGCTCACACGATGATATCCAAAAGCTTATATGGCAAGGGAACAGTTCACCACTCGACCTTGGATTTGCCCGCGCCTTTGGTGCCGCCACACGAATGGTGAATCTGGCCCCAGGTGCTGTTCAGGCTCTGCCAAAAGTCTTGGTCCTTTGGACAGCAGAGGTGCAAAGAAAGAATGACACAACACTCCATGATAGGTAGAACTTGTTGTAAGTTGGAAAAAAAGAAGTAAACAAACCAATGCTTCAATATGACGATGAACAAAAAAACCGGGAAACTGTCCACACGCGCACGCGCGTCCGTGAGTTTCTTCATCGCTGGACCGACTCGATTCCAGTCGTCGACGTCTTTGTCTTACCACGATACGACTCGATTCCGGCCAAGTCCAAGGAACACACGATTGGTGTCCAGGTGGGTAGATGTGTACGTTCGTCTTCAAAGCGGGAATGAGTTTTCCATGGTGGGCTGCTGTAGCTGCTACTTGGGAGGCTGCTAGGCTTCGCAGGCACTGCGATCGAGCAAATGTGTTGCTGATCTGCCCAGATGGCCATGTCCGTATCAAGAAACACAGCAGATCAACAGAATTAAAGGTAACATGGGTGTTGCAACGCCATGCAACGCCACAACCGCCATAACATGCCATAACATATCATAAATCATCACCAATTTGTTTGTGATTTCTCAGTAGACCTGTGGTTGATTGATGTTCCTTGCCTGTTGCTAGCTGCACTGCTAGCTGCTAGCAATTTTTGAAAGGTCCACACAAAGGAACAAAGAAAGCAAGTGATCATGCAACCGATGGACAACTGGGGGCAAGTGGCCGGACATTGATTCTGCTTGGATCTTGTGGGTTGCAGGTTTAAAGATTCTTGAAACGGGTGTACAGTAGTTTCTCTGCCGTGCTATCTGCACCCACCCAGAAAAAACAGTCCAAGTCTTGCTGGTCATGGAAGCGCGGATCACTGTTCATGGGAATTGATGCATTGTGTATCATTGTGTGATATTGTTTGGGGATGCTGTTCAATGCCTTTTAGTGCCAACCGTCCAGTGTCTCGAGTTGCACCAAGACACCGAGAGCTGTTCGATCCCCGCAAAGTCCACCTGTCGCAGCAAGTCCAGCAGCTCGTGAGTGGCATTCCTGGGCGGCTTCGACCAGCTTGGCTCGACAAAGAATTCAAGCATATACCCTTGCGGCAGCCTCGTGAACCTTGGTTTTGGGGGGTGTGGGGGCATACTCTGGTTATCAAACAACGTATGCAGTGAACCCAGATGTTGACAATGAGCAAAACCACACACTCCAAACGAGTAGGTTGACGTCATTGTTAGGTGTCAACCAAGGTACTGGATCATTGACCCACACATATTTGTAAGTATATACCTAGAACCCATTTGACCCGTGTTTTAATAGGAAAGGGCCATATTTTGGGGGGGGTGCTGGTTGTCCAAAATAGAGGTCATATGGTGATATGCTGATATATGCTGTATGGAGAATAAAATGCACTAAAATGACATGCCCTGTAGCTAGCTGATCCAAAGAACCACCTGTAGAAACTGAAACAGCGACTCCTGCCCTCCACAAGTGTTGTGTGCATCAGAAGTAGGATTATTATGGTTCACCTCCCTCAAACAATCTGATTTTAACATGACAAAGGGACATGATTTTTGAAGGCCTGCATTCCGCTTTGATGTTTGATGTCCTGCGTGCATGACAAAAGGAAATTCGATGAGGCCTTCGCGATTGAGACCGTCATGGGGTCTTCCCCACCGAGTTTCCTCCCACAGTTGGGGTAGTGCGCATCACAGTGAGGCCAGCGCGGGCTAGACGAAGCACTGCCGTTGGTGACGTTGACAGCGCAGGGCAAAAAGCACTCGGAATGGAGGTTCCACTGCAAGAGCCTCAATGTGCTCCTCGCCTGCACAGGGGAAAGCCATGATGGATCCCTATACCACCCTCCAAGTTTGGTTTTACACCCCTAAGCCCTAACCTCTAAAAAGGCTCTGTATAAACACCCCAAATGGAGGTTCCTGGTAGATGTTATGGTTTATTGTTTCTAAATGGTGGTTACAGTAACCAGTAAGCTGTTCACAAGGAAGTGATAGATCCGACATCTCTGGCCCACACCCTTTGCAACAAAAACCTGACAAGTGAAATCTATTGAACATCTTGCCCCACTTCAGGGTTCAACCTCTAGTGGTTTTCCTGCAAGTGCGCCCTCTTCAGCATCTTCAACCAACAAATCCATGCAAGTGCGCCCCAAACACTCCATCTCGGAAGGAGCATGCGGAGGAGCATGCGGATCGCGGATCGCGTTTGGCGTTTCTTCGGTACCCCACCCGGTCTGCGGCCATCGCGCGTGGTCATCTTTCAATGTTTCTTCCGTGGTTCACATGGTTCACATCCCAAGGGCATGAGCTGTGTTCACCTCAAAGGGCTGTGTTCTGCGGTCATCGCACGGACTTTGGATGGCGGTGTTTGGGGATCCACACTTGGGGTGCCAACATACGAGTCGTGAACAAGACACCGCATGCTTTTCGTCACTCTTAGGCATAGACGTGGAGGAGAGCCAATCACTCCAAAACCTCTCGGAATCCGTCTGCCAATGTTTGCCTCAAGCAGCTGAAGGCCGACCACACATCGACAAGCCAGCAAGACATGGAGGTAGAGGAAGCGCATGTGAGGATGATGTGAGATGTAGACTGCTCTGTGGGTCTCTCGGTTGCTCGGATAAATGTGGGTGAGTGCGCCCTGTGTTTCCCATGTGTTGCCTAGATTTGTGCGCCAAAAAGAGGGTTTGGGAACTGGAGCTCAAGGATCGAAGAAAAGGGTGTTGGTGTCTGAGTCAGGTCGAGGGCGGGTGTTGCTGAAACATTGCATCACAACGACTTCTCCCAAGAGATTGACCGAAGTCATTAAATCCTTGAATCCGCCCGATAGGATGGAAGAATATATATCTGTTCAGTCTCGGATCTGAGCCAATGGCACAGAAGGAAAGGCAAAAAACACATGCTACAAAAGAAAAAAGGAAACCAGACTGGGTGCTTTCTGGGTTTAATTCAGATCAGGCTGTCACAACAGAATAATGCTTTGGCTGGTCGAAGCTGCTCTAATATCATGTTTCTTTTGAGTGATCAGTTGGTTAAGCATCTGTCATCAGGCTGCGCGCCCCTTTTTGCTGGCCGGCACGCCAGACACCTTTGTCATTGACCAAGAACCATCGTACCATCACGCCACAGTGGATATCCACAATGGCTAGCTAGATCAACAAATTCTGGGCTGCCAAACAAGTGTCCAAGACAAAACCGGTTGTTTCCCCACATTGGACCGGGCCTCTTCTGAAACATTTGTACCCAGTTCTGTGAACATCAACAGCCACTCGCCACCGCCACACGCGTCCAATGTGGGGGCCAAACCGGGTTTTCTCGACCGTCACACCAAAGGAATAGCTCTCCCCTTCCTCGGGTGCTTAGCCCCAAGAGAGCGGGGATCTTTGCTCTTTTCAATGCTTCGATTTGATTCGATTTGTATCTATTTGTCGTGCAGTTGATCTTCATCAGCAGCCCATCCGGAAGAAGCCTTTAGAACATCATGTGGCCCAAAACAAGGCCACATGTGTGTTGTCCCCGGCACGAGCTGCATCAAGCATTCAGTAGGCTCGTGCGACAGTGAATTCCGCAATCAAAGAGCGCATCGATTGGATTTTCGGCCACGTGACCATTTTAACCACTGCTGGCCGCTTAATTACTAAATGTCCCCACAGCTTTACAGTGTGCATGGACAGGTGAACCATACGTTGAGCGAAGGCTTCTACCATATTCAACCTGGCCAGAAGAGGCATGCGTTGGCGCTCGTGGAAGCAACACTGCTCGGAGCACCCACAATTTGTGCAGAATCAACTGCCTGCCCTTTGAGTGCTACCAGCCAATAAACGTTTGATGACCCGCGTACACATCTCGGACTGTACAGTGGTACAGTCACATTAAATGAATACAAGCCGTTACGTCTGAAAAGGAACCTCCAACCTTGGAATGATCGATTTGAGATCTTTGTCTTTGTCTTGATCTGGATACCCCCAGCCCTATCTCCCCAGCCCTCAGCATCCCCTCCTTTCTGCCCCTTTCGCGCTCGTGCCTTGCAGGTCCCTGAGCTGAGAAGGGTCCGTTGAGCACCTGGGGGGCGATAATGGAAGCAACCAGCACTCTGCCAAGCGAGAGAACGTGGGGAATTTGGTGAAGAGAGACATGGGAGACGTCGGTTTCACAAGGTGTCCCATCCTTATGGGGCCTGGTTTGGGCCTCCAGGAAAATCTATCATACATTCATGATGGAACAACATACTTTCATGTTGAAAGCCTCAAGGATCAACTCCCATACATTCAGTAGACATCAATAGACCTCCCTGCCTAGATCTGCCTATCGAACGAGCGGCTTGAACTTATGGCCACCGGTGCGGACCGAGTGCGGCGCCGAAGGGCACATCCGTCCAACCAGCTCCGCTGGTGAAGGACAAACATCCGGTCCTCAGCGAGGAGGAAGCGGTGCGGTGTGGGGGGAGGGTTCTTGTGATGGCTGGCGATCTATATAATTCATTATAATTCAATTTACTTCTAATTCAAATTCTTGTTCCTAATAGCTTCTTGTTCCTAGGGGTCCATTAAACCGAGCCCTCAAGTCTCATCACTTACATTCCTCACAGCTAAACCCGAATATATTCAGATGTCATCAAATGTCTCTCTCTCTCTCTCTCTTTCTTGTTGGCAAAAACAAGAATCTGAGAAGCCGGCCACTCTCCTTTACAGCTATTGAGCTCCGTTAGCAAACATTGTAGTTCTCGCAAAGGTGCCACTTCGACCTCGAAAGCTTGCGGCTGAGCCCGGCAGCGGAGCAAACTGAGCTTTGAGCTCCAAAGGGGGTGTTGGCCTGCTTCCTGAAGGTGATTGTGAATGGATGTTCTGTGCTGCGCTATCTAGACTTCTGATGAACACGCGGCAGGTCTAAGCAACTCGTTGACACTCCAGGATAGGGAGGTATGTGGTTCGACGTGCTTCTTACAACCGTACATTCCTCTAAGCACTCTGCATGGCCCAAGTCTGTAGGAAAAGCCCCCCGGGATGTTGGTAGGGATTTAAGATTAACTTTAAAGAGTGCTTACAAATGGCAGTGTAAGAACCCGAACCCATAAGGGCTTTTCAAATAATGGGGAGGCATCCCAAACCATAGACTTCAGTTCTTCCTCTTCCTGAGGGCAATATATATCCAGAGAGGGATAGGGAGTCACGGGAGGGGAAAAGAATGACCAATGGAAGGTGCTCTCAGCGCGGAAACCAATTAGATCCGATGAGATTCGCCTGTTGAGCTGCCCAAATGGCAAGGTGTTGGTATCAAACAAATTGATTATACATTATTAACCATGATTAATCATTATAAGATATTATAAGTTATAGATTAATCCTGGATCATACCGTTGTATTGTCAAGCATCAATCTGTGCACACAGCCCCCCAGTGATATTGTGTTTACTAGGCCCAGGATGAGAAGAACAAAGGACTACGACCGGCCATGTGCACCGTTCCGATTTCCCGGGCCTTGCGCTTCCAAGCCAGGCACACGCGGAGCAGGTGAGGCAAAATCAGCGCGAACCTCGGGTGAAGCGAAGGTCCTCGCCGTCGGAGACCGCGATACGGCCCTCGATGGGTGAAGCAGCTGCGCATCAGCTGTGGGTTGGTGCATACCGCATGGTGATGGTGTTTTCACGTCCAACATCTGCTTAAAGCATCGGTTGTGGTGTTGGCGCAGCCGACGCGTTTGAGGAAGTTGGCACCTGAGGAAGCCTTGGTGGACTTCAAAAAGCGCTCAAAGGCGCATCCGACGCGTTCCAAACGAAGAAGCCGTGGAAGCGGGTCGGTCCATCGCACCCCGCTGTGTCGGGAAAGAGCTCCGAAAGGCCACGGCGATGGGGTCAGACTCGGTTGCGCTTTGCATCTATGGCAACGACATACAGTATCCGTTCTTGATCGTTTTGATATGGGGAGGATGTCACCTAATATCACGTAGAATGTGGACTTTCACACCCAAACCCTGCGCATCTACTTTTGGAAGTGTACGGCGAGACGGCTGGTGTTCGACGTTCGAGCGGGGTATTGCAACGAATCCCAAAAACAACGACCCGAGGGAAGCGACAGAAGGGGTCCCTCCCCTTCTCGCGGCATGTTCAATGTCCTCCAAGTCCCAGGGAGGTCTCTGAAACAGAGATCAAGAAAGCACTGACTTAGGTCTTCTTAGATCTTCCAGCATCTTGAACCAAGCTGCAAATGACTTTGTGGCATATGTTCCATCTCATTGATGTAGAGAAGCGCCGTTGACCTTGGCGGAGTCGACATGACGAGACGGGAAGAGCCAGCGACAAACCAGACTCTCTATCAGCATAAGGTCGTTGGGGTCACTGGAGATGTCCGGAGTGCCTATCAGAAAGGTATGGAAAGGTCTAATTGGTCAACATTACAGATTGGAACTAAAGTAAGTCGTTACTCCTAATAGCAAGACGTGAAAACGCGACGGCGATGACTCATGGATCCATTGCAGGACATGTCGACGGCGATTGAGCCTCAACCTACGGACTGTCCATTTTTGTCCACGTTGCCCTCACCCTTACTTATGTATTAATAAAAGGCGCCTATATACTTAATTGTATAGTATAAGTAAGGGACGGGACTAAGTAAGGGCTGGATGCTACTAGGTAACCTCCTACTAGCTAGGACGCAGAATAGCTCATGCTTCTTGAAGAGGGCGGGGGGAAGCTTCCTTAAAGAAGCGCTCGCACTCCTATTCAAGTACATTAAATGCATGTTTTAAACAATCAGTGTCGCATCAGACCTGAGATGCCGGCTGATTCGTCGCAGGGACGCATTGCTGGGTACTCACCAAGTACTCCTCAGGAGTCATATTCGACCTGCACCAGGGTAGCGTGAGCTGCCCAGGGTTGCTTGTAGAATTTGTTTGTGACTTGTTGGAAGGTGTTGGAAGGCCCAGAACTTCAATCAGAACCGAACCATCCCAAACCTAAGCTTGGCACCGGTCATCTTCCCACAGTTAGCTAAGTAGCTGTACTCTCTTGATCTGTCAAACACATGCCACAGATCTAGCGAAATCAAAAATAACCACAGGCCAGCCCCTTCCTGTTCAACCATTCAACGGCAAAGACAAGACAACACAGTCGTCTCGGATCGTCTTTGGAGCCGGGCAATCCTCTGTGGACCCCCAAATAGATAGTGGCACGGTTTCCAATACACCCTTGAAGATTAACATGGAACCTGAAAACCACTGGGTTGTACACTGGTCCATGTTCAGGTTCCATGTTAATCTTCCCGAGTGTACATTTTGGAAAGGGCTTTTACTTGTCTATAAAAATATCCAAAAATATTCCATGATTGACTCTGATTGACTGATACTCGCACCATGGATTCATCAAACCGCGCCTAAAGTGATCACATCCTCCGATCAGCAAGAAAGTCACAGCCTGGCGCAGCTGGCTGATGTCGTCCATGCACCGGCTATGCCGCTATGCATGATGTGTTTTTCCCCCAAAACCATAGGATTGCAACGATCTACAAAAAGTGAGAACCTGTGTGAACAATCCTTTTGGGGTTTTCGATCCTTTTGCTACTAAAGTGATCTCTAAAGCTTTTTAGGCTCACACAATCGTGACCCCAAGGGTCGGTCTGGCCGCTTTTTGGGGGGTCTCATGTGACCCTCCCTTCAATAATGAAAGTGGAACCAACAAAAACGTTTATCCATGACTTATCCATGTTCCATTGCCCAGAACTTGAAACATGAGATCGTCTCTGACTCATCCGACGGCAACGTCTGGGGCCTCCGTTGGCCATGCCACAACTTCGGGCAGGTTCATAGCCTCAGAGCATCGACACTCGACAGGTTACAACAAATGGATGCGAGTTTCGATTCAAGTGACGCGGATGCGCGTTCTTGATCGTTGTTGTTTTTTGTCTATGTATAAATGCATGCATGCTACTTACGATTCATGTTTTGGTTCCCTATCAGGGATGATCCTCACCTAGATTCTGGATCTGCATGGTATTTTGTTGGGAATTCTTGCTGCGCACCGACAGAGTGCGAAGTCTCTGAGTGCGAAGTCTCTTGATTTACAGCATGCGAATGACCGACAGCCAGGCTTCGGCTGCCAGGCTGCGTCCGCTCTAGGCTGTCTCTGTTTAAGGTTCCCACACATCCTCCGTTGATGACCACAGCTGGTGGTAAAGCGTTTCCAACTGCCTGAAGTGTTTGATGCAGTAGATCTGGATCCGTGGACGCTGCCTCTATGAGTAAATGTGGATATAAGTATCCAAACTCAATGCCATGTTGAAGCTGGCTTAATTAGCAAGCAAAAACACAAACAGACATCACCAAACTTGGAAAGAGCATGAAAGAGCATATGACCGGACACGAAGCATATTGTGAACTTTGTTGTCTCCTGCATACTTTGGAGCCAGTATATTGAAAATTAACATTGCCAAGCTTGCCATCCTGCTTGAGCCTGTTCAAAGGGCCCCTAAGGTCACTCAAAAAGGTGACTTTTGTAAGCGATGCAAACCCAGCTCCTCTATCTGTACATCCGGGAGCTGAGACATGCCAACAAAGACTAGGATGTCCTGGTCCCTTCTAATCGCTGAACCCACCTCATGCTGAACGTGCGCTCGCTTGACGCGCACGAAGTGCGTCTGGCCTCCCAAAGCTTCGGGAGAACCACTTGCCCACCTGAGGCAGAACCCCGAAGCCAGTGATTGACCCGAAGCTGATTGAGACCTATAGACCCTCATCAGGCAGTAATTTCTGCCCAAGATAATATGTAAAAAGACGTGTCTATTCTACGAAATGTTCCATATTCCGAACAGGACATCCAGTGGGTTAACACCCCTAAACATCCAGCACAGTCCAGACGGCTCTCGTACATGCCTCGACCTGCGGCAAATCACCAAGAATCCTTTCAACTCGACAAACAACTGCGGCTTTAGATGCTTTAGAGGATGGTCCCCTCTGATGAACACCAAACACCTGAAAGCTCTAAGTGTTGGCCACTCAAATCGATCGACACCAAACATGCGGTTTCTTGGCACATTGGCGACTCCCAGAGTGGGGCGACTCCGCTGGAACAGGCGGAGTCGCCTCGAGATCCCAGCACTAAACCTCAGACGGCGCCGACCGCAGCAGATTTCATCGCATTGTTCAGCGTTTTTGGGGGCCGTTGCTCCGTTCGTAGCGTCCGATCGCTCCTAGTAGTGAGGCCGGGAGCCCCGTTCGTAGCGTCCTTGTTACAGTACTATAGTGATGACGTGCTCTGAAATTGGGACTGTTCACCGGGCGTGTGCCCTTTCACGGGTTGTGGCTGCGCCTGACACGAGGGGAAGGTCGTTCGAACTGAGGGGTTTAAGGGACGGTATGAATGTTGAGGTGTATTATGCAGGTGTACAGACACCAACAACACGAAAACAAACACATGTTGCTACTCCTTAGCTGAGATCCAAGGTCATGAAGTTGATCTTAGTTTGCTGCATGGATGGTGGGATTCTGCTTTGCTCCATTTGCTCCGGTCGTTTCTCGAGCTGTCGGGCCCCCAACAATCCGCAAGCATTGCGTCTCCCACTACCTGCCACGGTGAAGACTCGACAAACCACATGCTGCTCCTCCCGCGTTCTGCTCTGAGGGGTGCGATCTTGGATGTCCAATCGCCAAAGTTCCATACTGCCTACATTGCCTACACTGCCTACATGGAGTGAGTGTCTGGGTATCATTCTAGTCCACAAATTTCGCTACTCATCTGGCGAAAGTCCCATCTCCCGTTCGACGCCTCCAATGCAAAGCTGGACAAGTTGGGTGCCGGCGCGCCATGGTGCCACGACCTTGGACTGTGTGTCCACGCAGCCGCGCGAGCGTCACTGCGTGTCCACGCGCAGGCTGAAGGGACATGATTCTTCTGATTTTTCTTCGGTTGCTCTGCATCTCTCTGCATCTGAATTTAAGTGGATAGTTTCAAGATGTTTCAAGCAATTCCCTAGGCACTGGGCAAACAAGTCTTTCTGTGAATGTCGCCCTTTCGTCTGTTTGTCTGGGATTGTTCGATCAAATGATTGGATTGCTCTCTTGAAGATCTCCTTAAACATCCAAATTGGGGTTCCCCCTTAAGGTCCCCAAGTCCTGAGAATTATCGGAGACGCAAAAAAGAACTGTGGGAGTCATTTCATGTCTACAAACCTCACCGTCCAGCCACAGGAACCCGACGTTCTCATGTCAGCCAGAGTCAGAGTCACCTGTTCATGGGTGAAATTGCTCGCTCTAATCCCCCAAGGTGTTTGCTCCTTCATGGCCTTATTTGCATTGGACGGAGTCCGTCTGAAAGGGACCGGGGAAGAATTCCATCGCCGGAGGTGGATTCCTCGGACACATGTTGGTCGACCAGTCCCATCGCCGCACACGAAACACCGCTCCGAACACCGGCGAGAAACGGGCGACGCCGGCGGACATCGCTCGCTCCCGCCGCTCCACCGAGGGGCTCAGGGTAACGGTCGTACCGAGCCATCGAATGCCCTAAGACTTCGATCTTATAACTGGCACCTTGACCTGGCAGACCGATGATCGCCGAGAGCTTTGATGTGGCGGACGGAGGCGGATGGAGCAGGAGACTGAAGCGGTGACTGGCGTGGAGGAAGTCCACACGGAATGCAGAAGCCAGGAATTGGGGAGCTTCAAGTTGAATGGTGTCTGCCCATGGAAGGATATGGAAGGTGAGGGGTGTTTCACCCTGTATCTGTGACTAACAATCCCACTGGTGCCCCCTCCCGCGCGCAAGTGACCCGAACGCGACCCTTCCGAAGACATGCGGTTGACAGAGGGAGAGTGGCAGCCTAATGAGTCGTGTTTGGTGCGAGGGTGTGGGGGACCACCGTGGCTGATGCCGGTGTTCTTGGGAAGTCCTCGGCGGATGAACATCATGAAGAGCTTTTTGACCATTCAATTGCCACTTTGTTGGGTGATTTTCGACTGCTGATCCATTCATTTCTCCCTTCTCGCCATTCTCAGCCTTCACCTTTTAGCGATAAAAACTGCAGATTATCTCTTGGGTCGTTGGATCACAAATGATGTCCTTTAGGGAAGAATAGAGGGGTCAGTTTGGTACCATATACTATGCCTAGTGGTTCTAATCTTGGGGGTATCCCCTCTATTAATCAACCAACCGGCAATGAAACATAATAAAAGGCCATCCATGGCCATCTATATGGTTAGATCACCATCAACCCTCTTCTGGGACCAAAGTACCCAGCCCACACATCGATGCCAAGGGACAAAGCTCAGCATAGACCTGGCCTTAATTCTTTTCAGGTCACAGAAAAGGCTGCCGTTCTGAGAAGGTGCTGCTCCAAACAAACCCACACACACACAAATTGACTCCTGCAACTCCAAATCAGGATATTTGATGATATTTGTATCTCAGTCTCTGGCGCTATCTTGGGATCAAACCATCCACCTCTTCTTCCACCTTTTCAACCACGCGGCGTTGCCCAACCGTTGGAACCATCCGCGTCCGAGGCTCCGGACCGTTGGCGCGCGTCCCGGCGCCCGGCGCCACGACGATAATCCTCTTCCGCTTGGGCCTACGTGGCCGGTGAGCTCGAGCGCGAGATCGGCCAGGGGCAGGGGGGGGTTGTTATGACTGGGGTGAGTTCTCAAGCATCCTCAAGCTGATAAACAGTATAAAACAATATATATATATATATATTGGGCAAAGGAATGTTGGAAGATTCAGGGAGAAGAGGGTGGCACTGTGCACATCCTGGCACTTTCGGAGACCTTATCAAAGCCACTGATGATTGTATGCGCCACCCCGTCACTGGGCGGCGGACTTCACCAGCACTTCATGCCATGTTGAAAAAAGTAAAAACTCTTCACGCAGACCGTAAAGGCCAAGCCCGAGTTCTGGAGGGGTCCGGGCCCGAAGCAATCCCTAGGTTTCGAGGGGGCCAAACCCAAGCATGACCAAGGGGCTGTGACCGGAGCAACCCTGTACATTGAATGTATACCATGGAGACTATCATGGAGTCACCAAGGGTGCCGAACGAACGCAGGATAGGAGTGCCCAGCTCAAATCCACTCACTGCGCTCTTCGCCGCTTCACCGCTTCGGCTCCCCCGCTTCGAAGCGTCGGTCGCCCTCGTCGTGGTCGGCGTGACTTTGGCGCTTCCCGCAGTGGGGGAGGGCGCCCGGTGTGGCGCGGTGGCGCGGGGGCGTGGCACCTGCCAGGCGTGGCGCCTGCTGGTCGTCCAGTGCAAGGGTGAAGCCTTGATCATCCCTGATCTATTAGGTCTATCGCGCCAAGTGCTTTTTGGGATTTTAGGGAGACAGCTTGTCCCCCACCTGCCAAGTTATCAGAGCTCTTCTCTCTTCCTCCTCCTCCTCCTGCTCCTCCTCGCATCTCCTCGCCAGCAAGTTAGAGCAAGTGGCAGATCGCAGGGGGCACTGCTGGACCTCAACAGCAGGCGCCAGATCGCAGTGGGCACTACCGGACCTCAACACGCAACCCAACAACATAGCCACAAACACACAAACACAAAACACAACGACAAACACAACTAATCACAAACACACAATTAATACATGCACACTACACAACAAACAAACACACCAAACCAAAACACAAAACGCAAACACGGACACAATACACAACCAACAACGACAAGCACAAACACACAAACACGGTACACAAACACCAACACAATACACAACCACAATGAGCGCAGCTCCAAACACCTCGAAGGTCCTGCCAGCCAGGCAGCTGCAAATACCCAAGTCGCTGCTTTGTCGTCCCATCACTTCAGCAACGTCCGTGAGTCGTGAATCGTCACGTCTTGCGCCTGTTACCAAGACAGGACAAGGCATCCACATGGCATCAAAACAAGGACAGGGTCCGCACTTTGGATAATTCATAGAATGCCGGCTGTAGAGCGTCAACCACGGCATTTATTATGACAAACGATGTGTTGCCGTGCACAAACCGATGCCAGAACAGTGATTCAATAGACCTTGGTGAGTCACTGTGTTTGACTGTTCGTTTCCCACCATGACATGAAGACAAATGATTGAAATGTCATGGTCGGGATCACTCGAACTCGAAGTAAATTAAGTGTATTCCTTTTTTGGAGAGGTTCCTACGAAATGATCACTGGACATTCGCATCCTAAGTTGTAATTGCAACTGAGAACCGCATAATAAAAAACAAAAAACGACATCCTTGGTCTTGTATAGGACGGTGAGATGTAGAGCCTCAATTGTTCTCATATATATTCAATCTGTTCTCAAGCTACGATGTTTCTGTTTCAATGGCAAAACTGGTGGGAGGGAAGTCAGCCATATTCTGCAGAAACGAAAGTCTCAGGTTCATGCCCTGAGCTTCTTTTGTAATGAAGAAAGCCTGTAGCCGGCACTGGTACCGCCCAGCCTGCGTGTCTTTACCAAGGCGTCGTTGTGCTAAGGCCACACGCACCTCGGGTCGTCGAGGCCGGAACATGGTGATGATCTGATTTCTGATGCTTCTCACAGTGATTTCTGATGCATCTCCCCAAACGTCCGCTGCATGGCCTTCCAAATCCTTTGGAATCACCCAGCTGCCTTTGTTTCCCGCACAAAGCCATGCAGAATTGGCCGAGTTTTAGGAGACAAAACAAACAAACAACCGAGTTAATGCAGTTAGTTGGTAGTCAATTCGACAAGTGGCTCATTGATGTTCATACTAACAACTGGCTCATCCACCAAGAGAGGTTGAACAGCCCTTTTAGCACATCCCATACTCCAATACCACTACGATCCACCACGGAGGTCCTATCACACAACCTCTCTTGCCCTCTCAACCGCCACAAATGGTTCCTCTCGCCTTGTGGATGGTCTTTTCATCCTGCTTCGTCTCGGGCCACGCGTCCAAGGCCCTGCACAGTCCCACACGCATGTAGGCCGCGGATCCCGGAGGAGATCCCGGAGGACAGAATCGGACACACTCATAGGTTTGGATGTTAGTACATGGTACTTACGAGTAACACTTCAAGGTTGTGCTGTACAAGTTCTTCATCTCGCATCCCGAGAAAAGACAGCGAAAACGAAGGCCCTCTGCCGGTGTCTTCGAACCAACGAACCACTGGTTCTTCCTTCCGACGTGCGCTCCGCGTCATGGCAGTCCGAACCTGGCGATCCCTGAGTATAGGGAGGAATAGGTCGGCCTATGACGGTCATGCGCATCTGCGCGTCTTTACGACGGTCATGCGTGTGTGTGTGTCAAAGAAATATCTATGAATCTATGACTCATTGCAGCTGTGTGTGTGTCTTAAATAAAACAAACAAATCCAACCAAAAAAGGGACTCTCCAAATACCCCTTCTTCTGGGCACATAATTACGTGGCATGGCATAGCAAAGTCCTCTCGAAGCATCAACTGCTGGTGAATCAGCTCTCTAAGAACTACCACCAAAAGTCTCCAGCGCTGATCCTAAGCCTTTGGCAGCACAGGGGGCATCGCAGCAAGGGGCGATTTCAAAGACTTGCTGAATGACCCGCACCACCGTGATGGACACGTGCTGAACAGCCATGAGCAGCCATGAAGGTGTTTTTGTTGCGCATGTGCCTAAGAACTGCCTCTGGTCATGGTCGATCTTCATCTACTCCTGAGCCTCGATGGCCGGGCCATCGCAGCGCAACACCGGTGATGGTTCTCAAGTGGAATCACCTGCTGTCGATGCGCTTCGCGTCGCGCTCTCGAAAGGACCGAGTCCTCTGGTCCTCCTCCCTGCAAGATGAGATTCGCGCTCAGTTGCATCGGGTCCTTTGGACCAACCCGGAGCGTCTTGGGGGGGTTCAGTTGGATCGTCTTCAGTTCCAGTGGCTCTCCACCGGATCCTTAACAACGCCACCCCAGCGGTGCATTTCTGGGCGCTCTAATGGGTAGGTTTGTCAGTGAAACGCTGAAATCTTGGGCTGCAACTTGGCTTTGTCTCAAAAGAAGGCAAGCCTACTAACCCCTACTAGCCCCCAAACATCCCAAAACATCTTAAAGGGTGGATTCAAACGAATCCCATATAGCTCCTCTTGCCTGTCTTTAGAGACAAACCAAGGAGCTTTTCTTGGAGGCCAAGGAGGCCCGAAAAGGCATCGGCTCCGTCAGCAGATCAGCCGCCAGCCTGCCCGAGTTTGGAGTGTTCGAGTGCGTCTTCCTGTTGTCGTTCCCAGACACGACTAATGGGGGAAGAAAGTATGATCCACATGATCCTACATGGACCACTGAAACCATCTGAAACCACCCCCCCTAAATAAATATGCCAGTCCCATCAGTCGTGAGATGTTGATGAACCGATTCGCCCCAGTTTACCGACCTTGCGGGGTCGGAAATTTGCACACATTTACCATCCAGGCCGTTGAAAGGGGGCCCTCGGACCAATTCAACTTCAAATTCCAAGCGTCTCAGAGACATGCTAGCAACCCAGTTGCTAGAGTGTTAGAGAAAAGAACAGGAACAAAAGTGGCCAACCCAAAGCCATCTGAGAAACATATAGAAAAAACCATGGCCACCTTCTTCTGGTTCGCCATGAAATCATCTTCATAGCTGGGATTCCTCGCCGCAAACGATCACGGGAGTGGAGATCGAAGTTCCGGTCTGACCGACTCGAGGTGTCAACGACTATGATGGAGCATGGATCGTGCTCTGCTTAGGAAACCAAAGGCTCGGGGTCCAGACTCTCCTACCTGGGAAAGCTTCAAAGGTTGGAGAGAGATTCTTGAGATGCGCTTTATGGCGGTGTCATGATTGTCATGGTTGGTTCATGTTGGTTCCCAGCGACCCTGTGCCAAGCAGTTTTTTCGTTATAGCAGTACACTCCACTCCGAACACATGCAACATGGAAAACCCACTGTTTGTAGAGGAACATCGTCTTCCAAGAGGCCATGTTCCACGCAACCATGTGATGTGTTCGTCAGAGTGCTACACCTCGATACACCCAGCAACGGCAGTTCGGGTGTCCGCGCCGAGCGACGAACTGGGCCCGGGTGTCCCGGCAACGTGATGAAGCCATTCGGCTCGGAGCTTTCGCGCTGCCGCTGTCGACGGCGGGCGGCGAAGGTCGCGAAGAGGCCCGCCTCGGGGGCTACCCAGGCGCTTCGCGCGAGGTACAGCGCCAGGAAGTCAGGATTCTGTGAAAATCTGTTGTTTTGGCCGAGTATTTCAGACAATTTGCTTCGGAATAAAACTTGGGAAAATAAGCGTGCACCCTTTCTGGAAGAGTTCCAACCATGTTCCAACCGATGAAATCAGGAAAGCGGAAAGCCTTTAGCAGGCTCTATGTCCAAAAGGACACAACCACCACGCCTGCCACCGTTTTTTGAAAAAAGCGCCGAAGCCGGCGATTTGTGTGTGTCCACCCCTGGACAAAGGGCTCTTTACCACCACCTCGTTTCCACCCAACCTCAGCAGGGGGGCAGTGATCCTTTCAGCAGTCACTGCCTAACAAAGACACTGCTGATCGGATGTGATATTCGGAGAGGACGCTCTCTGAACGTACCTGCCGAGTTTTCCACACGCTGTCACCCTACTCTTCCACTTTTTGATTCATGGTTCTTCATGCTTCCACCCCAAAAACAGGTTTCTCAGCCACTTTCAGCAGCCGCGTTTTGCCGCAGTCAAGGGAAACAACCTTTGTTCAAACACCTACAATTTGCTCGGACTTTTCGCCATGCTGTTCCACCGCCATCCTTCCCATCGTGGTAACTGAGTTAACTGAATACAATTGTCAGAGTGTGTTTCGCTCAGCCGTCCCATTCGGGTGCTGAGTGTGATCCCCGTCACAGGGGCGCTGTTTTTGCATAGGAAATCACCCACCTCAACTTACCACCTACCACTGGATTTCCACTGGAAATCATTGACACATCCATCGAATCAACTGATGCATTGGCCGCCGGGCCCAAACACGGCAGCTTTTCCTCCACTGAATTCTGTAGAATTTTGTAGCGTCTTGCAAGGGTTTTGCATGATTTTGCATGTAGTTGCCTCTTGACGTGTGACATGACCTTTCCGCAAGAAGAACTCAAGCCCGCATACCGGAGTTCTCAGATCTAATTCGAGATGCATGGGAGCCAGCGCTTGGCTCTGTCAGGCCTCCAATCCAGACTTCACACCATTCGAAAATACACATTTCCACCCTCCAGCGCTGACGCTGCTGCCGCCGAGCTAGTGAGGCTCTATGTCCAAAAAGGACACAACCACCACGCCTGCCACCGTTTTTTGAAAAAAGCGC